CCCNCCCCCCCCCCCCCGGTAGCTAGGGGGTTCGGGGCCTCCAGGGTGGCGTAGCCAATCTGCGCGCTGCCTGCATGGCACCATCATGGCTAGGGGCCCAAGAGGATCGCACACAGACCCTAAGACAGCCGCCTCCGCCGGCCGAGGAACGGGGACACGGGGGGAGAGAAGCGAGAGTGGTCGTGCGCGTGCTGGGATGGGGGATGGTGTGGCATGGGGCTCTGGCCAGGGGGCGAGCTGGGAGCGCCACAGGCATCATTGATGTGCACGTGTGCCCGGTTGGTGGTGCCCGGTTGGTGGTGCACAGCGAGGAGGGACAGCTGGTCGCGCAACAAGTTTATTGCAATTATTGGTTGGTTTTATGGACCAGGTTGGGGAATAATGGTGAGGGATAAAAAGGAAGGGAAGAGGCCGAAAAGGCGGAAAAAGCAAAGAGCAGGACAGACTCAACTCCCAATGACAGTGTCCCTGGACAGTGACGCAACTGTAGACGCCCGTCGGAAGGAGAATTTTGAGAGGCGGCAGGCACATAGAACAACAGCCTGGGAACTTTGCCTCGACTTCCCGTCCTGGTTCGTTCCTGCCTGGAGATAGCCGCACCAATGCACCTTCCGCCACAAATCAGAGCAGTGAAAGAACCTTACCTTCGTGCCTTCCCGCGAGACCTCAAACACGGGCAGTCGATATCCCTTGTGCGAGCCACCCAACGGCCCAAAGGCCCAAAGGTCCAATACCATTAGCCGTGCCGTGTCCGTCTCGATGCCACCAGCGGATGGAGAGCCCGCCATGGTCTGGGTGCTGGCATTAAAATGTGCATTTCTGCATACTCGTATCTGCAGGGGTTCTGTGGTGTGGACACAAAACCACAAAACCACAAAACGCAGCAACAAGCACCAACACCTCCACCGGACTGGATAATCTCTCAGGCCCTAGTCCTTGCCCTCCTTGGCCGCGCGGGGACGCTATCCATCCTTTTGCTGCCAATGGAAAGCCCCACGCGGGCGGGTTGGCCGAGTTTGTTTTGTCGGGAAACGGAAACCACCGAGATGACCAGGACAGCCCAGTCTGCATGGACCTCGATGGGGCCGCCACGGTGGAGGACACCAACAAGAAAAAAGGAAAGAAAAAAAGGGCGGCAGGCTGCCCAAAGCCAGGGGGGAACCTGGTCAAGGCAGCAAAAACAACCCACCACGACGCAGCCTCGGCTCGCCGTCCAGAGGGAACGCGAGCGTGACAGGCGTCCCGGATCCGCTACACCGACCAGCTTGACGGACGCGGAACCGCGGAGCCAACCCCCTGGTCTTGCCCTCAATACGACCAACCTCGGAACCTTCCGTTATCCCCTTTGTGGGAATCCGGGACTGCTTTCTGGCGCGTGCGTTGGTGCGCACGTGCGACTGGGTGATGGTGTGTGTGGGTTGTGTGTGTGGTAGGTATGTCTGTTTGTGTGCGTGTTCTCGCGCTTTCTCGCGCACTCAATCAGGGTGAGTGAGGAACTAGCTGGCGAGCCGGGAAGCTGGAATCACGCTCGGCAAACCGAGGGGACTCAGCCAGGGGCCGCGGGGACCTTCCCTAGGTTTGCACATCAATTACCCACCCACCCTACCACACCAAACACTCACCGGCTGCAGCCTAATCGCTGACCGACCTGTGCGACATTTGCTTTTTGTTTGGCTAGCAGGCCCTCTCTTTTCTTTTTCACCTTTCTTTTTCTCTTTTCTTCCTCCCGCTTTGAACTTTGTCCGGTGGGCCACATGCCGCTATCGACACTTGGCTTGCTGGGTCCTGGTACTGCTAGTAGATACCTAGGTCGCTTCTCCTCTTAGCTTCCTCGTTGTTGGTGGTGGTGTGCCGCTTGTGCGCTTTTTTCCATTTCCGGCCTAACCACCTGCCGATCTTTCGTCTGCACCTGCTCTAGGTCGATGCCCGGACCGGGTCCCGGGTCGACCTGGCCCCCTGTTGAATATGCCGGCGGTCACGCACAGCCATCGCACCATGCCAGCGAGCCGCCCCGTAAGGAGCCTGTGAGGGAGCTTCCAGTGAAATTTGTCTGTTTTGGGTGGGAGTCGAGGCACCCAAAAGCTCTCTAGGTTTGGAAAGGCCGAAACACCAATCAGCCACCTCCCTTCCATCACAGGCCCAGTGGCACGAGGCACAGTGGCACATATCTAGGTAGGTACTCACACCAACGTCTCGAGAGGCTTATGTGACCGATGATGGTGGCTCCACCAGCAAGCCAACCAAGGCCTTCTTTTTCACTCGTACCTGCTCGCTTATTGGTTGTCGCAACAACCTCTCCCACGCCCCTTTATTGAGACCCTCAATGCGCGCCCACCTTCCTGAGCGGAGCCCGCACCAGTCAGCCGGCAACCACCCTGACAGCATTCCGGGCAAGGGGTGGCAGTGGGGAGACGGACAAGGGAGCGAGCGGGCAGAGAGGAAGAGGCAACACGTCCGGGCTCGCCGGGTTATCACGGTTCGGGCAGCGGGTGTGTGGGGGGCCCGCTTCCAGGCCGATGCGACGCTGGGCCAGAAATCCCGGTTTGCGTGCCGCTGCCTGCCCACACCATCATCGACCCTGTCGAAAAGCTGCTCGGGGGGTTGGCGTGGCACGCGTGTGTGGTTGAGGGCTGCGCGGCGCTGCGTCTGTAGAGCGCACTGGAGCGGCTGCTCCTTCCTCACTCTCGGCCCGCCAAGCACCACCCATCAGCTGCCACTAACCTTTGGCCTCGGGCAAGGGTACCGGGACTTCGGCTTGATGATTCAATAAAAAGATCGTCGCTTGCCCAAAGCACTGCTGCCGGAAGTACCCGTCCGTCGCTCACCGGCCATAACATACACGACCGCCGACATGTGTCGAGCTCATTTCCCTTTTTCTTTTTTTTTTTTTACTTCTGCCGTCTGTGCTTTGGTTCATCCCGTCCCTCTCAACGGTCCTGCCTGTCCTTCCGAGCAACAGGCTTTGTGGCCCCGATCGGCGTTACATACCCTCCATGCGGTAGTTTATGTGCGCTGAGTCGTCATCCATGACTGTGGTGCAGGGCCATTGGTGCCCGCCGTTTGGTCTTTTGCGAATGGATGCTATTGGTGATGGTGGTGGGAGAAGGTGCGGTGCTACCCCCTTTCCATGAGCCTATCGCAACAGCTTCCCTCCCAAATATGGGTTGCCCTGGAACCTGGGTGCTGGGATGGGTTGCTCGGGTCACGGCCGATAGCAGGTCTGAGCTCATCCCGTCAATGCTCCTCGTCGGCGCTCGGGGCAATCGTTCCATTAGGGTGTGGTGTTCTTGGGTTTCTAGATTTCTTTTATGCATTTCCCCCCCATCTGGTTAGGTTTAGGAAACTTTAAGCACACCGCCACCTGCATCTGCACTGTTGTGATCAAACAAACCGTCAAGGGTCCGCCTGGCCGCCTGGCCGAGGTCGCATAAACATTGCCGGATTGGGGAATTCCACCGTCATCGCTCGACATAGCATAGCGGTTAAAAACACCAGGCACACGGGATACATGGAAAAATGCCTACGGAAAAAAATGTGGGGCACAACGGGGAGCCCGTCAACGGGCAAGGGCAAGGCACAGAGCACCTGCCTCCCTGACGAACTCCCCCACGAACTGGTTCCCGACTTTAAAAATCACACCATGAAGACGGAAATAAGGGCGGACCCTTGCCCGGCGTGACAGCCCTTGAATCACGCAAGCCTCTACTGCACCTAGGGACCCCGATCTAGTCGTCTCCTTCTGGAGCTGGTGCGCCGCTCTCGGCTGGCTGTCCCTGGTAAAAGCATCTGCCCCCCCCCCCCGCCCGTCTGCGCATTCCAGTTGTTTCCGTCCAGACCAAAGGGACCCAGCCAGACAAGCACTGATGGGCCGGAATGGGAAAGACTTCGGCTGGTGCCACGAGTGGGAAAGAGTGCGGTCTAATCAGAGCCTAATACTAGGACTGACTGCCTGTTTGCCTGTCTGCAGTGCCGGCCGCCATCCGTCCCCCATCCTGATCACTAGACCTCACTAGCTTGGGGCCAGCCCGCCTCCTGGTTGGGCGCCTACTCCCCCTCGGGCTGCTGCCGCTCCTTCGTCCAATCTGCACGACCACTGATCCCACAAGTTCGGCACCTCTGCTGATTGGGCAGCCCGTGGCAGAGCTTCGGTAGTGCACCTGGCGGCAGCCACGCAATCAATATCGGCTTCCCAAGCCCGGCGTTGCATCGCCCGCGCTGCTGCCTTTTTCTGATTTCTGGTTCCCTTTGCTGTCCGCTTCCCATCCCGTCTGGAGACATCTCACCAACCAGAAACGCCCAGGCCATGACGCGCCGACTAGACAGAACCAGACTTTTTGCCGTTGCAAGAGCAATTCCCTACGTACCCGAGCAGGGTATGTACCAGGCATGTAAATGCGCTCACATCATCCTCGGCCGGCCGGCCAGCCAGCCGTCCTGTTGTTACGACAGGGCAACACGGAAGCTTCGGCAGAGGACTTCGGCTAGTTCCCCTACAGATCATCCCATCCAACAGACAAGGTGCGCGGGGACACCGTGGCAGAGGCATCTTCTGCCGAACACACCTGCTTTTCATCTATGCTTGTCTCAAGCACGGCCACGCACATGTTGCATGGACATATCCCATCGGTCATTATCCCACAAGCCTCGACACCATCTGTGGTGTTTTTCCAAACCCCCTGCCAGCTCATATTTTTCTGCATGTCTCTACACATCTGCAGTCATAGATGGATGTGCATGTAAGACGGGCCAAGTACGCGGATGGAAAGCGCATCTACGACGCCACCTCGCGTCACATACCTACCGCCCAAAGCCGCTTTTTTTTTTTTTTTTTGTTTTGTTCTCACCGACCACTCTGGCGCTCGTTGCGTAGATAGCCTTCTCGGTCCCGGTGTCTCAAGTGTGGCGCCGGGCTGAGAGCTGTTCTAAAAGCGGCCCGCTGCCAACGGCGCCGCCCACCGCCCTCGCTACCACTTCACTAGCGGAGGCTAAAAAAAAATCAAAAATCTGTGAAAGCCTATTATCACCAGGTCAGATGCACTGACCCGGACGAGAGAGATCAAGGGGTGTGCCTGCCGTGTGAGACGTCCCGTACTAACCCAAAATTGCCCGTTGAGCGCCGTCGTGGAGGAAGTGGGTGTGCGGAAGGTCCAGCCGGCACCCCCGGCCTCTGGTAATCTTGAAAAACGGCGCTAGCAAGTGCTGGGGCTCCCTTGTAGCGAATAGCCCTGCATACGGCTAAAACGACGAAGCGACAAGGTGCCCGACCCATTCACCGTTCACGGGATGCGGCTTGTTCCTCCACACAGGCCATCTCGTCGAAATGTCGTCTCCGCATCGGTACCAAACGCTGGAGGTCCGGTCGAGACGTCGGTAGCTTTGTCGCCGTTTCTGGTCTGGGCATGTCATGTCATGGGCTGGCAGGGCGCACAAGCCGCTCTTGAATCTATGCTGCCAACTCTCTGTAATAGAGTTGGGGCGGGAACCGATAGTGTCCCATACGAACCATCCATCACTCCAGGATGGATGACAGCTCCCCCCGGATGCTGCCCCGGCATCTGGCCTACGTCCGCCTTTCCGAGAGCTGAGTTTGCTATGCCAAGTGGCCAGGTGCTCCCACGATACCAGGAAAGCTCCGTGTCCGACCGACAGCTGTAACTCCCCAAATCAGACGTGTATTCAGGTTGAACTTTGGGACGGCAGGTGGGGCTCTTGGGTTCGAAACGGCGGCTGATAAAGTCTCAATAGCACCTCTGTTGAAGTGTTGTGCACTCGCTTAGATTCGCGTTTTTGTCGTCCCTGCCGCGCCCCCGAAGCAAGCTGCTTTTCAGCACAAAAGGTACATTGATCCCATATACTTGTCTTGGGCCCCTCTTGGTATTGCGCCCTAGCCTCCACAGAGCGTTCGGCTCATGGCGGCATCGACATGCCCTTGGTTGTGTCTTTCCTCGTCTCGTCTTTGGAGATCCGAGGAGACGCATAACATGGGTTGAAGATCGCCCAAGATCACCCCCGGATCACTGTCGTTCAAGCGATCTCGAGTACGGATGAAATTTGTCCGTCAATGGCTCTAGTGCCTATACTTCTGGAAGAATTCCAGGCTTTGTCGCGAGACGCATGCCTTCCCCCTTCAATCTTCGCTTTGGTCAAGGTTTTGTCCGACCACCCCAAGCTAAGCATCGCGCTAGTCAAGCAGGAGGAACATCGACCCACGCTTTTTTTTTTTACATTGGACGTCCGGGTAAATCTTCCACCAATTCCTAGCAGTTGCCAACCTCGAATCGGAAAAGAGAGGACCACTTCTATAGACGCTGTCTCTCGCCATCAGGTGTGAAAACTGTCGCGTCGGGAAATAGCTGTCCTCTCTTGCCCTATGGGCCACTTAGGTGGTGATGACAGCGGATCCAAGACGGTTGGTTACTTGGCGGTCCTGCTGCTGATGGCGGGTGGTAGCTTTATTGCATTGGGCCGGCTGTCGAATCACTGAACGGCCCTCCTCTAGCAATTTAACGACACCTCCAGGTTTCCAGGAAAAACCCAAGTTGCGCAGATTGGCCAATATCCGGGTGGGCGCACACTCCCCGGCATTTAGGACCTATCCCGCAAGCGGGCTGTCTCCGTCACGGCTCTACCGCCACGCCGCGGCGGCCCAGCCGGGGAGCTTACCACCCGATGGCCAGGGAAATGGGACGGCAAAAGGAGAGGGAGGGGCGTGCCATTCTGTGCCTCCCCGCCCCTCACCCCGGGTGGCCTTGACGGCAATGCGCAATAGTGACCTCACGTGCCGTCCTGCACCCCTTCCCGGGAGCGTGAAGGGAGGGGGGGAGGCCTGCCACGGGCTGCTGCTGTTGCTCAAAGGCCCGGATGAGAGTCCCCGAGCCTCGGGATGGGGACAGGAAGGCGTCGGATGTGTTGGGTGCCTGTTTGCCTGGTGGCCGATGCCGAAAGAGGGAGACCGCATCCCTAACGACCGCAAAGATGATGCTTCGGCGACTATGTCTTCTCCCTCAGATCAGTAGTTCGAGTCGGTACCGGGAATCGCTCGGGTAATTGTTTGGTAGTTTACATTGCTAAGTTGATGGTTCTCGGCTTGGCAGCAATCCGACATATATCGAAGACTGGAGTTAAGAGAGCTTTCACCGACACGCCGTCGAGTCTCTATAGGCCTTGGGAAATCTGGTACTGGAACTATGGCCCCCCCCGCCAATCTAATATCGCTCCTGATACTCTCGCTCTTTTGGGGTTCTAGTCTCACGCTATCCTGCGGCATCGCCGGGCTCACGGTTCTGGCATGAAGCTATATATCAGCCCCAAAGAGCGGCTCGGGAAAGTGGGATGAAGAGACGTGTTGCCGCAAGCCGAGGCAGCGGCTGAAACTCCCCAAAAAACGAAGCGAGGTGACGCCGGGGAACGGCATCTTTATCCTCTCCAACTGCGTTCCCGGAACCACCAGCTGTCCATGCCACCCGGTGCGGCCATCCCTAGGTCTGCTTCGCCCCCGGCCGCGCCAACCGATTTCCGGAGGCCGGCCTTGGAGCTTCCATGGGTCCAGGCGGCAGGCGGGCGTTACCGCAGAATCGCATAGGCAGGCCAATTCCTGGCTATTCGCCCCCGGCCGATCTTTCATCAAGGCCGCCGGCCTTCCACCAGCCGCGTTGCTTGCCCAAGCATCCCAGAGCCCCCACGCGAGTCCGTTCGTGTGGTAAAGAGCCCGTGGCGCCACCGGTACGAAGGACGCATCAGGTCCATTTTAGCGGGAGAGGGAGATAGAGGGAGAGAGGGAAAGGGACGGTTGACACGCCATGCGCTCCTTCGTCATGCTTAGATGAAGAAATTGCAAGCACACCACCAAGGCAGACCGAGCCGGCCAGCTCGGTAGGGAAGGCGCCCGAGCCCGTCGTCCCTCCTGAAACAGGCATATGGTCCCCCTCGGATACGAGCAATATCGCGGGCCATGGACCAGCCGGGCTTGTTATGTTATACCGGCACTGAATATAGCTTCATATTCTCCCCGTCGTCTCACCTACTGGCCGCTAGTGAGCTGCTGCTGCACAATATTGCACGAGGATTACTTTTCTAGGCCGTTCCGGGGAAGGATCGCTATGCTGGCACGGCATCCAGACGGCCCTTGGGCCTGACCAATCGTTCCATCAGGTCTGCCTTGGCTATGATAGCTGAGCCTTTGTGTGGCAAGAGGTTTCCGCCGTTCTTGTAGGTCCGGTAATCGCACTTTTGGCTGTTTTGCTTGCCTTTTCCCGCATGATGCCTCAGACGAGGCGGGAAGTGGTCGGCATGACTCTCCAATAGAGGAATGTGGTACTGTTTAATGCCGACCAATCAAGGGATTCAGGTGAATGTGTTCAGTAATGTGCTGAGATTTGGATGACGGGAGAATCCCGGGGCACCCTCGGTCAAGGGGCGAGGTGGAGATGCAGATGACAACGAGACTTTCGGGAAAAGGAGTAGAGAGAAGGCGTCTCAGCACGGGCAAGTCGCAAGGAATCGGCGTGGCGGCCTTGGAGGAAGGAATATATACAGACATGTGGGTTAAAAATACCGAGGTATAGGGTGCCCGCATAGCGCCCTAAAGATGCAACCAAACCTGACCCGGCTCCCCAAACACATCCCATCACTATCCTCGTGCCCTGATCGCCTCGACGACCCGCTCCCACTCGGCCGCGACTAGGTCGTGGTGCTGGGGCGACTGGATGGACCCGAGCCCGCAGGCGCTGAGGTCCGTGATGCCCATACTCGCCGAGGCGGCCTTGGTCTTCTCGATTTCCACCATGGCCACGCAGGCTTCCGGTATCCCGTTCATGGCCGCCTTTGTGATTAGGAGCTCCCTGTAGGGCACGTACCTGGCGCGCCAGTCGCCACCGGTCTGCTGCTCCCCCTTGCCCCCCACCTTGGCCGTGCCCGTCAGCAACCCCAGCATCATGCAGGCCCGGGCCAGGTCGAGCTGGAACGCGCCGACGGCATAGCAAGCGGCCGTGTCGGCTTCAGGGCGGCCCATGAGCGCCGTGGTTTTGGCGAGCGCCAGGCAGGCGGCGGGCTCGGCGTCGAAGCGCGGCGGGCGCGGCTTCAGGTCGACGTCGAAGTCGGGTGCGGCGTCGGCGTCGGCGGGGGCGCGCCTGTGGGCGCCGGTGGTGGGCGCCGGGAGGACCGGCCCCATGGCGAGGCGCAGGTAGCGCTCAGCCATCTCGAGGCGGTCTTCGAATAAGTGGAGCAGGCCCCAGACGGTCAGGATGTCCGGGTCTTTGGCGGCGGCGCCGCTGGTGCGGAAGCGGGCGCGGAAGCGGTTGATGGTGGCGGGGAAGGGCGGGGGGATGTCGCTGAGCCGCCGCTTAGTGCCACCGTCGACCGAGGCCATCTTTATGGCGGTCAGGCAGAGCGTCACGGTGGAGGGGTCGTGGTCCAGGATGGATGCGTGGTCGAGCATGCGCAACGACAGTCTCATGAGCGGCGGCGGCGCGGGGCGGTCGCCCTCGCCCAGGGCCAGGAGCTGGACGGCGATGTAGTGCAGGTGCGCCGGCGAGAAGTCCATGGATGTGAACTTCTTGACGGTGCTGGGTGACGACCAGGGGAGCGGATTCCCGATGTCGTCGAGGCTGGCCTGGATGTAGCGCTTGACGAAGGAGATGCACCCGGCCGAGTCTAGGGGCGCGGCGTCTGGGGCCATGCCCTGTTTCTCGATGAGGTGCGCCCGGGTCTCATCCCACCACTCACTATCCGGCACGCTGTCCTCCGTGAGGTAGGCACCATCGCCAGGCAGGGGCTTCGACTGCGGAATTTTGGGGGCGCCTCGTGGTTTCGTTTTTGGTGTAGTCCTGATCGGGTTAAACTTTTGATTTGGGCGGGTGGCGTATTGCCGCCTTGACTCGGCTTTTGTTGTTGCCGTCTCTGCCATCGTGCACGGGGCCGGCCTTGATATCCTCCTCTGGGTACCTACTAGACCCGTAGCATGGCGTGTTGTCGTTGTGCAGTACTGGCGCACTTCCTGGGTCAGGCATGTGGCCGAGCCCCTGGAGGCAGACAGCACCCTTGAGGCCATTTTGTAGGCCTTTCCAGCCATTGTGAGACCGGTTAATTCCGGTTGCGACCGGGGCGCTGCCAGAGTCTGAAATATCAAAATAGACCTAGGTGGCACATTGTTCTGACAGCATGCGATGAGCTGAGGGGATCTCAGGTCACTTTGTTGACGCTTAGGGAAGTTGCGCAACCATAGTCAAGCCCCACATAATAAAGAACCTTGTGGAGATGCGACGTGCGAGCAAACCCTGACGGCCAATGGATAACCATCGATAGGTCAAGATCCATAGAAAAAAAAGTCGGGCGGATTCAAACGCAGGTTCACGCTTTGACAACCGCGGCCCATCAATTCATCGCTTGCAGATGCGCGTGACGACTAAGCTCACCACTCTTGGAGCACATACTGAGCAGACAAGCCGAGCTTGAGCCCAGCCACAAAACAGACATCTCCAGCTCCTGTCTTCTCGCTGTTGGATCTTGGCGTTGGCATAGGTCGGGATGGCGCCGACACCTAAGAAGCTCTCCAAGCGAGAGCAGCAGCAGTCTCCTGCCGCCCCGCCTCGGGCGCCATCACCAGCCCGGACCGAGGCCAAGCCAAGGTCAAAACCTCCGCCGGCCAAGAAGCAGATAGAGGTGATAGAGCTCTCGTCAGACTCCTCCGACTGTTCGGACCTGAGCGGCGACGAGAGCGACGCGCCCGTGGCTACCCCCGCGCGGCCGGCTGCTGCTGCGACGACGACGCCAGGGAGCAGCGGCTCGAAGCGCAGCTCTGCCCAGGCGGGCAACGACGCCGGCGACGAAGATGGCCCGTCGCCGTCCTCGCCGGCTGGCGACAGCCCCACTTCCAAGCGGCAGCGCAAGCTCGCTGTCAGGGTTAAGGAGCCCACCCAGCCCGGCGATGCTGCTGCTACCCCGATCGCCTCCAGCAGAAAGAGCCCGGGCGGCAGGGGCAGTCTCGTCAAAAAGACGCCCTCGACGCACGTCCGCTTCGGCGACGACGAGGACGACGACAGCAAGGAGCAGTTCTACACCCCCCTCGAGGTCCCCGCCAGGAACCCCCTGGACGCCGCCGGTGCTGCTGCCGCTTCCCCCAGAAAACAGGAAGAGCAGAGGCGACAGGAGGGTGGCGGCGCGGAGGACGGCGAGTCAGAAGAGGAAGATGATGAGGATGACGAGGACGACGATGACGCTCCCCCCGAGGCGGTCTCATCGCACGCCGCTGCGCTGGAGAACAAGAAGCTTGACCAGATCGCAGCCAAAGCCGCAGAGATGTAAGCGGCACTACCGTTCCTTGTGAACCCTTGAGTGACTACTAACGCAAAAACTCCACCAAAAAAAAAAAAAACAGGCAAGCAGCTGCTCAGAGGCAAAAACGTCAGCGGCGGGACGTGCTCCTCAAGGCCCAGGCCCAAAAGCGCGTAGAGGGCGAGGCGGAGCAAAAAGCAGCAGCAGAAGCAGCGGCGGCAACGGTGGCCACCACCGAGGAGCAGGCGAGTCCCTCCCGCAAGGAAAAGAGCCGAGTGCCCGATCTCCTCCCCGCCGAGTTCCTCGAGTCAGACGACTCGGACTCGGACGACGACGGGGACGCGGCGGCGGGCCCGGGCCGGAAGCGGAGGAGGGCGGCGGCGGCGGCGGGGAGGCCCAAGAAGATCAAGTTCGAGACGGCCGAGCGCGCGGCGGCGCGCGACGAGGGCCGCGGCCCCGCGGACCAGCGCGTCGGCGGCACCGTCTACAGGGTGCTCAAGAGGCGCGGCGACGACGGGCTCGCGCCCAAGAGGAGCAAGTACGCGGCCCACCAGAAGAGCGCCCTGTTGGCCAGGGGCCGCGTCCCGGTGCGCAGGAGTGGCGGGTTTCTTTTGAAGAAGTAGATGGGGGGTGGGGTTTGGTTTCTTGCATGGTGGCTTTGCAGGCTCACTGCTGTGGATACGAGCAAACACATGTTGCGGGTGAACGCATTGTCCGGGCGAGGAATTGGCAGTATCCAAACAGTTGAATAAAGCGCAGCCCAGCTTCAAGAGCCATAATCATGATCACGGGAGAATACAACCGGCAGCACCCATGCTCATCTGGAACTCATTCGCTATTCCCCGTCGCAACCTTGAGACCCGAGTTTTTCTCCACCTCGTCTGTTTTACAGCCGTACCTATCCTCCTCCTTCCTGCCGTATTTTTGTCAGCCGACCTCTGGTCCAGGGCCCACGAGCTTTGCTACTGGGTGCTGAGAATAGAGATGGAGAATATGTGAGAGAAGAACCACGCGTGCATCAGGATTGGCTAGGAGAGGAACAAGAGAGACAGAGAGAGAAAAAAAGCAGAGAAAACAGAACCCCATTTTTTTTGGAGCTTCCCACCCACCCGAAAATGTCATTTGCAGTCGTCACAGGTGCCTGTCCAACTCGTCATACCGGACAAGTCGGGCGAGAGAAGAAAAAGGGGAGAGGAGGGGAGGAAGAGGGCAGCGGGGAGCATAACAACAAACAGGAAAGAATTCAGGACCGAGTACTTCCAATTTATGACGTGGGTTTTTGTTCCGCCCTCCTTCTCTGGGGGAACTCCAGATCCATCCCAAACGTTGTGTCCGAGTAGAGAGGAAGAGTAATCAAATCGTACAAACAAAACATCTGACCGGTTTCCCACCTCCCTTGACGAGTAACAAAGAGAAAACGAGGTGATGCCTAAGAGGAGAACGGGGGAAAAAGGAGACGAGGAGAGAACGAGTGACCAGACCGAGGTCGGTGGCGGCAGGAGTGCCAAGCCAGGCGTATCGTGTGGTTTTTTTTTTTTGGTTTTCGGTTTCTCGGGTTAGATTAAGACAAGCTTTCATCGGCTTGTTTTTCTTGTGCTTTTTTCCATTATCAGGATTCGGGCAAGGACTTGGACCAAGTCTGGCTCTTCACATCCCACCTATCCGGAGGCTATCGGCGATGTCGTGTCGGTGATGAACTCCCAGATTTCTAATGGTAGTTACCGCCCCAGCCGCGGGGCTGGTTCCCATAGTAACTGCCTCCACTAAAGCCCTGGTTGCCGTAGCCTCCGTAGGGGCTGTTGCCGTGGCCCTGTGCGGCCGCGCCGCCGAGTCCGTAGCCGCCAGCGCCGCTCTGAGCGCCGTGGAGACCGTGCCCCTGTTGCTGCTGCTGCTGCTGCTGCAGGTGGCTCGGGTAGCCGCCGTAGCTGCCCATGCCACCGGCCCCCTGTTGGCCGGACTGCGACGGGGGCAGGCCCTGCTGTGCCTGAGCACTGTTGGCAGCCGAGATGGGCCTGGCGCCGCTGATGGACGGGCTCGGTCCTCCGGCCGCCTTACTGTCACCGAACGGCTTAAGGTCGTCGTTCCCGGAAGGGGCGCCACCTGGCTGCTGGCCTTGGTTGCTGAAACCCTGACCAGCCTGCGACTGGTACGACGAAGAAGCGTTGCGGGCAAAGCTATCGTGCATGCCGCCGAAGCCGCCGCTTCCGAGGCCCTGGTTACCGGACTGCTGCGCTGAGGCGCGGCCGTAGTCCCCAAGACCAGATCCGAGGCTGTCGCCGCGATGCAGAGATGACTGCTGCCCAAAGCCGCTGGCGCCGCTCGAGCCGTGGTCGTACGGAGCGTTGGGAGACATGCCGTACTGGTTGGGCTGTCCGTAGACGCCCGCCTGCTTGCCGTAGGGGGCGCCATATCCACCCTGGTTGAAGCCAGTCTGGAACTGGGTCATGTAGGCGTAGTACGGCGCGTTATAGGAGTAAGGGTGCTGGCCGTACGGGTACTGGTTCGCGTGCTGAGCCTGCTGGGCATGAGACTGCGACTGCGCCGTTTGCCCAGCCTGCTGCTGGCTCTGGCCGGCCGGGTTGGGTGTGTTGTTACCACTGCCCTGGGCATCAAGGGCCGATCCAGCGCTGAAGCGAGACGAGGCCGGGGCCTGAACACCGCTCTGGGGGTACTGGCTCAGGTTCTCTGTCTGAGCAGCGTTGTATCCGCCAAGCGAGCGCGAGGGAATACCATCTTGCTGGCCCTGCATACCCTGTTGCTGCTGGCCATAATTTTGGTTGTAGTAGCTGTACGGTCCGCGGCCTTGGTGGTCAGCGGTGTAGTACGAGGTGAAGTCGTTGGGCGCCGAGCTGAGAGCGGCAGCGGGGACCTGGGCCGGGGCCGGGGTTGGACCCGAGGCCTGGCTGTGCGCCTGAGATTGGGCTTGGCTACTCGCGAAGCTATCAAACTGGTGCTGGCCAGCGGGAGGCGCGCTCGCCGCGTTCTGCTGGGCAAAGGCATCGAATGACTTCTGGCTGTACGACTGCTGCTGATCTTGGGCAAACCTGCCGAAGCCCTGTGGCTGGCTGGGTTGTGAGGAGATCGGGGGTTGTTGGGGTTGTTGGGGTTGTTGAGGGACTGAGGAACCGCGGTGATTAGCAACCAAGAGTTTAGAAGGAGAAGAATGGATACTTGGGGGCTGAGAGCTCGTGGGGTGGCTTACTTGGGACCGCAGCCGCGGGCTGCTGTGGGGCCAGCGCAGACGGGGTAGCTGCAAAAGTGATGTTAGTGGATGGCTGATCAGGCATGCATGTGGTGAGAGATTGGTGAGTAGTACCAGCTGCGGGGCCCGTGGGAGGAGCGGGCGCGGGTACGGCCGCAGGCTTCTGGGCCGCGAAGGGTTCGGGAACGGCGGCGGGCTGGGCGACAGGCAGGGATGTACGAGGGTGGGACACGGGCGAGTCGTCGGGCGGCTGGGTCCGAGTCTCGGGCTCCTCCCTGTCACCATCAATGTCCTCCTCGAGTCCGCTAAAGTTCAAGGCACCAAACTGAACGGTGGCCCTGTCAACCTCACGGTTGCCCGGCATGCGAACAGCCTCCTCTTGATCGAGCAGGCGGCGACCGAAGCTGGGGGTGCGAGTGGCAGAGCGCTCGGTAGCCTTGAGAGCGGTAGTGGCGTAGCCACTGGCAGCAGCACGTCCAGCCTGCTGGGCCTGGTGTTGCTGCTGCGACGCAGAAAGCGGCGTTGCTGTGGCGCTAAGGGCCGCCGCAGCGTGCGGGTCCCATGAGTCGGCGGCTTCGCTGCGGGCCGTCTCGGTATCAGGAGGGTTGGATATGTCGGTTATCTGCTCCAGATTCGTCTCGGTCAACTGGTCCTGCGAAGGCGGCAGGGCGACCTCTGGGATGACGGTGGGGATCTCGGGAATGGGAGCCTGTGGCGTCTCCTTGACGACGGGCTCTGCGGGCATCTCGACGGGAGCTGGCGCGGGCTCTTCGGCGGGGACCGGTTCGGCAACGGGAGGGAGGGGCTCGATGATGTCGGCGGGCGGAGGGGGCGCGGGAACGGCCTTGGGCTTGGGAGGGGCGGGCTTGGGGGCGGTTGACTGCCTGAGCATGCTAGCCCATGTCTTCTGAGGAGGCTCTGGGGTGGCAGCGGGTGGCTTTGCGGGGGAGGCGGCAGTGGCGGCGGCAGGGGTCGGGGCCGAGTCAGATGTGGCGGCCGGCCATGCGGGCGCCTCGTCGTCGGATTTCGCGTGGTTGTCCCAGGCTGATGATTCCTCGGTGGGTACAGACAGCTGGCCGCTCTTGTCGGCGTGAGTGCCGTTGGGGGGAGCTTGCGAGCGACCGCGCGCGCTGCGTCCACCCCGCTCCGGGGTGCCACGGCCACGGCCGCGCGTGCCCTCGGTGCGCCCGCCTCTGGGGGCCCTGTTGTAGCCTGGACCAGCATCACCAGTAGTAGTGGTGAATGTGGCGTCCTTGGCTGTGGCCTTGGGCTTGAAGCGATCCTTCTTCTGCTTGGAGACCTCGCCCCACTGCGAGATTGTGCCTGGGTCGGGTCGAAGAGTCGAGAGTCAGTTGGGACACATCCATTTCTATGCTGCGAACAGGCCAGCTGGCGCGGCTGACTTACCCTCAGCGATGCGAGTGACGGTCAGATTCTCGTCACCGTCGGTCTCCTGCAGAGCAAAGAGGATGTCGACGTCGGACCAATCCGGGAACATCTCCTTGATCAGGCTCGTCTTTGCGCCGTAGCGCTTCTTCAGCTCGCCAATCTCGCCCTCATCTTCGACCGAATCGAGCGAGTCGAAGTGCTTCGAGTCACCGTTGGGGGACCGGACTTGTTGGCGGGCTCCGCCGCGCGGGTGGCCTCCTCTGCCGCCGCGGCCGGCGCCCCTACCTCGAGAGGCAGCCGGCCTGGACTGGACCTCAGAAGACATGTCTGAGGGGATTTGGGAAGAAAGGGGTGAGTTGGTTGGGATGGAGGATCGAGGACGCAGCTCAGCAGGGTCGACTCAGAACGGGCATGCGCACGAAAATTTCGGATCGAGGGTCGGGGCCGGGGGCTCTAGACAATGCAAAGAACTCGTCTCCCTACAGGGCGAGTCAATCAGATATGGGGGCTGGCGGGTCGAGGGGCAGCAGCTCGCCCGGGTGATGTGGTGGTTCGTGGTGGTGTGCGGAATTTGATGATGGCGAGGAAGAGTGAAAAGAGGGAACGTGATGTTTTGCTGCCCTGCTGCAAAAAAGGGCGGCGGAGTCGAGACGCAACCAACCAGGTTCGATGCAGCCTGCCTGTTTGCGTCACCTGATTGGCCGCACGGTTTAAGGCTGCCCCACCCGGTCCCCTTTTAAGCGGGCGACTCCTGCCCAGCAGCCCCAAAAGCACTGGAATCCTGGGGGCGACGCCTGAGCTTGGCCTTTGGCTCGGATGCCTCACCAGCGCTCCAATGGGGCCGGCTAGCCTCGCACAGGGGAGCCGTTCTGCCACTGAGCTGACGGTGCCGCGACTGGGGGCGCGCTAGGCCCGGCTTGGGAAGGCGACGGTTGCCCTGCGTCGCTTGCGACTTTGGGTGCCCAGACTGACAGCAAGAGTGTGTCTTGCCTTTTTTTTTTTTTTGCGCTGTGCCTTGGATTCAAGACAAAAGAAAATGGTGCGCACTACTGCGGTGCCTATTCCGTCATGCGACCCGGGAAATGATAGGTGGACAGTATGGAAATCATGGATGTTGTGTTTGTTGTATTGCACCCATGTTGGCATCACAGAAACACAGCTTGTAGGCTTGCAGGCGTTGGCAAACATGGCAACCTGTCCAGATTGGTCACTCTCACTGTCTACCAACATATGTGGGAGGTACCGATGCACAAAGCGCGCTTGATCCCTTCCCTACCAAACACGCAGCCTGGCCTCTTTGCTGATGGCTGTGGAGCCGTTGTGAGACATCCGACACCCCCGCCGCACCACCACTGACATTGCATCATCAAGTTCCCCATACTTTGTGCCTTGCCAACCTTGTATCCATGGATGGCTGGTGTCGGGCCGTCCGTCTTGTGTTCACGTGTCCTCCCACACGCGAGATCAGACCAGACCTGAGCGCTGGGGGGAGGTCCGAGCCGGTCATTGGCTTTGTCACGGGAGCTTTCGTTGTGGGGCCAAGGCGGGAGAAGGTGGAGAGCTTGGTCGGAACATGGGACCATTAGCGCAACAAACGTCACGACACTGACGCATTGATGGCTTGGATTCCACGATAGAGCACCGACTGACGACGCTGGGGTCATTCCCGCCACCGACCACGAGGCCCGGCCAGATCCCTTTCCCCGCTAGGCGCCGGTCGCCCACTGTCGCCGGTCGCGACCGCGATCATGAAGCCCAAAGACCTATCCTCCCTGAGCAAGATCCTCGGCTCAATCCATCAGCCGCTGCCCCTCAATCAGAAGGAGTCGCAGCGCTTGCTCGACAAAATCACCACGTCATTCCGCAAACACCTCGACGAAGAACACCCAGGGTTCACTCCAGAGACTGGGGGCACCGTCAAGTCATCCGTCTCTCCCGCGACCGCCTCGCGCCCGCAGCCCGCTCCAACCCCAGCCCGGACACGACCGACCGACCACCATGTTCGGTCCATCCTGTCGAATCCGCTGTTCAGCTACGGACCCCCGTCCACCAACGCCGTCGCAGGGTCGGCCATTCGGGAGGATGCCAACAGAACCAGCGATCGCGGGCCCGCGCTGCAGGCAGGACGGGATCCCATGGATGTGTTCGACGAGGCGGTAGCAAGGGGCATGATGACCCCCATGCGGGCGGCAGGCTGTCTGATGGCCAAGCGCCGCGAGATCGTTCAGTCGGCCTCGCCGTCGGTCCGCGATGCCATGGCTAAGTCCGGTGCAGGTCTCAAGGTTGTGGGGTGGCTACGGGCCTCTGGCCAACAGCGCGAACTTAAGTTCCTCGAATATCCCCGGCTCGTCGACGAGCTCGTGCCATTCCTGATGGCCGAGCATCAGGAAGAGGTTGTGTGGAGCTGGTTGGCCGCCCTTGTGCAAGACGAGCAACTCGAGACTACGACCTTCTGTCGGAAACACGCGAATGGCCTTTTGATGCGGATGCTCGACTTCCACAGCGACAACTCTCCGAGTATGAACGATGCGTACAATTGCCTGATGCGTGCACAAAGGTCTCTCCCCCAGTCCTGGCTTATCTCGCCATCCCGCCCGACCGCTGAGGAGCCCGGGCGCGAGGACGATTTGCTGCTCGCTTCTTGGCACAAACTCAACTGGAAGTCAACCGTCCTGGCCTGGCAGCACCCATCAAAGCCTTCAAGGCGCCTGTTTGACCAATTTTCCAATATTGGCCACCGCTATCTGGACCCCAACAACACGGTCAATCAACTCGAGCTGGCACACCTAGCGCTGCACCACCCAGCAGAACCGAGATACGGGTTGGCCATGAAGATGCTAAACGCCCCGACTACCTGGAGCGAATGGTACAGCGAACAAAGCAGGAATCCGGGTCAACTAATCCCTAGTACGGTGCGCTTGCGCTCACTGGGGATGGATGTGACACAATACTTTGTGAAGCACGGCGAGACCGATCGGGCAAAATCCGTGTTTCAGATCATTGAAGAGAAACTGCAAGGGACTTTGGCTTATCACAGTTGGGAGATTCGCATGCCAGCTGGGGCATGAAGTCGTCTTGAGAATTGAGACTTTCATAGGAACATGATGCCAGCAATCGCCTCTTCGCCGGCTTTACCTAATCTCTGTTCCTGTAGCATTGCCCCCTGGGCCAGCCAGTCAACTTGTCTCTGATTCATGCTTAGAACTTGATATCTCTGGAGGCATTTGGGCTGGCAAATTGGACTCGGATGGAAACAGCAAGCGCGCTACTGCTTTTTCTATGGGTGGGAGGACGCTTACATACAAGAAAGCGCCAGGCGGTTGACTCGACAGAATGAGTTTACTCACATTGTGGAGGAGATATACCAAGGGGAAAGATGCAAAGCTTTTGACAAACTGCAATAGCTGTGCATAGCGGGAACTTCTCAAATCCTCCGAGAGGAATCATCCGAGCGAAAATTCAATATGGATTTTCAATCAAGGGTGACGGGTATCGGACAGGGAAGGAAAAGCCGGTCGCTAAGCCAGGGCCGTATATAAATACCCAGTAACGACTAAAAAAAGGAATCCGATGTCGTGATCATCGTGCCCGCCTAGAGAATCGGAATAGGCGAGTGTGAATAAAGCCAAGCCCATCATCTTTGGATGTGTTCAGTCCCAGTTCCTCTCAGCTCTCCTCGTTCACATGCTCCCTCTCCCCGTCCTCGAGGCCGTTGACGACCCTCAGCGCGCGGCGCGGCGCCATGACGACGCTGAAGAAGCTCAGGTCCTGGCCCTCGAGCAGGCCCTCGGTGGACGAGGCGTAGTCGCTGCCGCTGGTGCGCGACCGCGCCGGCGCGCTCGGGCTGCTGCTGTACTCGAACGGCGACGGCCGGCT